AGCACTGTATATTACAGACTTGTAGGTACTAGGACAAAAAAATAAAGTCCATTCGTGATACGTTTTGGCACGGTAGTGTAAGTTCTGCCTAGGGGTCTGTTTTGTCCTTATGTGCAGCACATGTTACTGAAGCAGTAATGTTTGAAGTGAAGTTGGCTTAAGCTCTTGTGATCATAGCCAGTTCCATAAATAGGATACCTATCTTGTACTCTCATCTTTTGGGTATGAAGTAAGGTAGAGTTTTCCTGATGTGCACCTTTTTTGATTAAGGTACAAGTTGAGCGAACAGAGCAGGAGACTGAACGAAAACTTTGGGATGAGCAGGAGCAATGTTACCGCTAATTTTCTTACAGGCATCCTCAAGTTGCCTGTAACTCTATCTTAGATAGCTTGAAGATGCTATGCTTATTCAGAAATGTCAGCGTCTTGTAATAGCTGGTTTCACAGCTAGGTAGGTGGCAGGTATCTTATTTTTTAATGGTAGAGTTTTGAATTTTGATAAATAACGTGTGACTTTGTAAGATCACAAAATTATCTGTGCAATGTGCTCTTTGTCTCTCACTGAAAATCTTTCTAGGTATGTAACAAATCTAATTCTGGTTTGTCAGATTATAAGCCGCCTATCGTTGAAGCTAGTTAGAAGTTGGAGGTTGGAAGCCAGCTGAAAGCTGAGAGAGCAGGGTAGCAGCTAGAAAAGGTAGCAGTGATTTCAGTAGGTCTTTGGTGGGGTGGTTCTGTTTTGTTTTTATTCAGTCAGTACTGAATCAGCGCTATTATACAATGTGCTGTTGGAAGTGCTCTGCTCTGGCTGGAATGTTAAACTGAAGTTCACTAGTCTGATGAGCACGCATTCGAAAAGATAGAGGTAATAGTTGGGGTTGTTCTGACCATTGTCTCGGTAAGGGGGAGGGGGGGGGGCAATTTCAGTGATACCAATATGGTTTAGTACTTAATGTTCTCTATGTGACATTTATTATTGCTATACTCCAACTTGAAGCTTGATACAGACCAAATCTGAAACTCCATGTAGTTAAAGTATTTTAAGAATAACATTGAGTGTAAGAAGGCTGTTTAGACTTCTGGTTATATTTTTAATATCTAAAGTGACAGCTAATGTAGAAAATGCTTTGTTAGTCATAATCAGGAGGTCATCTAGCTATTAGTGTTTGTGGCCCCTGTCAGGCAATAACAGACTTCTCTGTCTAAAATGAAAAACACACACTTTCTAATCTAGGTTAACTACATTAGAATTTTAGTATGTTGTGCCACTACTGTCAGTTTTGCCCGAACTTATGGACTACAACTTGATAGAATTTAACTAGGGGGTTTTTAGTTACTTTTTGTATGTTATCAGGTTGTTCTAGCTGCTGGTAGAACCACTTCTTTAAATACAGTATTCTAACCTGTAGTCATCAATTTTTAATTGTATTTGAGCTAAGAAAATTGGATATTATTACAAAAACTGTCTATGGCGACAGTGAGCTTTGGTTTTGCAGGGAGCTTGCTTGCTTGTCAGTAAGCTTGGATTTGTTCCATTTTCACTGGAAAATAAAAAGAAAGTTGACAAGTTTTGTAGTTTTTTCACTATTGCTATTATATTCATATGTATTTGATTCAGTGTTCTGATAGTTTATTTCTACCTTCTCTGTTAGACTTTGAAGAATGAGTCAGAAGTTCTGAAAATCCATGGGGTTTTTTTTATGAAGGATAGAGAATACTCAAAGGTAGAAAAATTATTATTGTCAGTAAAGAATTGGACTGACACCTAATTTGACTTCTACAAAAAAGCTCTGCTGAATTAATGAGGTGGTGATCTTCACTCCCTGAAACTTCCAGATGCTTTGCAATCTGCACGTTAATGGCCAGCCTGAATTGAGGAGGGGTGGTTAGGTTGCTGCGATGGTTTGCTAGTAGAGGTGGGCATTTCCCAACTTACTGGTCATATGTACGCCTCTGCCAGCAGCTGTTCTTTTTTTTCCCCCAGAAATGGTAGAATCACAGATGAAAACCAGTGAAAATTTCTGAGTTGTCTAAATTTGAAGCAGTGCTTCTCGTGAACATCGTCTTGTTGACAGTGTTCCAATACCTCAGTAGTTAGTGTTAACTACATACCTGTGGTGAGGATAAGATATTTTTTGTTTAGTTCCTTACACTCTGGCTGTGATTAGATTGACTTTTTTTTTGTGACTCTCATGCTTTGGCTTCTTTCCAACCGTCGTGCTAGCAGTTCTGGTTGGCAGGATTGCCTATTGCTGTGCAGTGAACTGGGTTTGAGGTACTGATGTGGCTATAAATTGTGTTAGAACAAGTTGCACGAATGTTGTTGCTAGCACAACAGAGGCGGGTATGAAAAAGGGGAATGAAATGATAGCGAGAGTGCTGTTTGGGCACTGCCGCTGTTGCGTGTGTAACCACAGCCCGTCAGGCCTTCTCAGCTGCTCGTTGGCGTTCCTGGCAATTTCGTGCTCTGCTTTCAAAAAGAAAATTTTGAGTCTGTTTATGGATTTCAGAAAGTCTGGAAATACTGTGCCAAACCAGAAACTGAGTTTAGAGCAGACTTTCCACCAGGCTTCTTAGGCACGAGTGTCTGAATCAGAAGTTCACGTCCTACTTGATGAAAAACCGGCAAGTTTCAGCTGTTGTGGTGGTACTGCAGTTCTCCTCTGGTATCACGTTGTGCTCGGATACCCAGATCATTCCTATCTTGTCAGTGTAATGTCTATGAATCGAGGGGTTTAGAGAAGATCTGTGCCATGGTTTCAACCATTGGTACCTACAAAAAGATTATGTGAGCTCTGCTGTTTTCACATCTCTTGTCCTTTTTTAAGAAGCGTTTCGTTTGCTTAGCTGACCTTAAACGCAGAGGGCTAAGCCTTTCTCATGCCAATGGAAGCCCCACACTTTAAGAGACTCTAAGGAAAAAAATAAGCATTGCACAGCTCTAGAAAGCCAACTGTTAAATGTTGGGGTTGGTTATTTGTTACAGCAGATCTATTGCTGCGCTACCTCTGCAGGCATTTGTCAAGTATATTGTCTGTCATGATTGGAGAATGATAAAACTGCAGTGCATTTATATTTGTTGGTAAAACATGTGCATAATTTCCACATTTGTAAAAAGCAGTGCAAAGTGAATCTTCCTTGATAAGTCAAAAGTTTCTCCTTAATGTCTATACAGATTATTTGCAGTTAACAAGCTTATTGTCCTTTGCGAAAGGTATTGTATGAATTCCATCTTCTCAAGAATGAATCTGCCTTGAGATAAGATCTAAAGCAAGTCCCTTGCTTTAAGTATAGAGAACAACTAAGCTGTTACTTTTTTTTTACAATATTAATGCATATTTGTTTAATGATTTTTCAAGTAACTCTTCCAAGCATGCTGAACAAATTGGGAGTTGAAATATATCTCACAATATATTAGTAGTGTTGACTGTGTTCCTTTGATGTTGGCTAATTCCTTTTGAAGAGGAAAATGGTCCATCTGTGCAGAATATAAAACCCAGTGCAAACTCCTGGCTTTAGGAATTGGCGCATTTTTAATATTAAAATATAAGATAATCCGAAATGGATTTGTGCCTAAACAGCATAACTCTGCATATAAACAAGCCCTGGTTTTGTAATTGCTTGTGACTTTAAGGAAGTTTACTTTCAGTTCACTGAAAATAAATCAATGAGAATGATCACTTTACTTTGACAGTAAAGTAAGTTCAACTCTGCTTATCATACTTTTAACTATGTGTGCACGTTGTATGGCAGGATTGCAGATGGACAGCAGAAGAAATACCCAGTCACCTCCAAGTGTTTTCTGGAGTCCCAGCCTTTGTAGTGTAACAAACCAAACAAAATAAAAAAACACCCAACCACCCTTGAAGTTTTCATCAGCCGTAAATGTTTCTAGAAATTGAGAATGTTGTTCTGGTGATTGAGAGGGGAGTCTGGTAGCTGCTTAATAAGCTATAGGGTGATATCCTCAGGTGTTCTGCTCCAAGATATGGACATACCATTGCAGTGCCAAAACAACTGTGATGTTTAACTCTTTGGTTAAATGATTAAACATTTTGGGGTTTGAGAAATCTTTCGAGAAAGTTCTATTTAATTGAGCAGAAATAATGTATTGTTAAAAATCATGGGTGGTAGGACTCTAAATATGAAGCCAGTTAATATTCACCTTTTTTGATGATTTCATAGATGTGAATTTTAACATTTCAAAAATGGATGTGCTCCTGGTGCTGTTTATCATTTGTGTTACAACAACAGATTTTCTGCAGTCATGAGCTGGCAATTGTGTTTGGCATTCTGATTGAAGTAGTTTAAACTCTTACCCTATGTATGTTGTCGAAACAATGTATTTCTGTGGATTTCTTTAGACTTCCTAGCAGGTTAATTCTTCTTCCCTCACACCCCCCCCCCCCCTTCCTTGCAGTATGTCTCTTGAATGATTTTAAAATTGGTATCTTCCAGTTTTCCAAAACTAATATGTAATAAAATTGGTTTTAATAATGGTGTCCTCCTGTCTCAATTTCTGTACTTCATTTTTCAAATAACAGTACATAAAGCTGGTCAAACTCTTTGAGTTGTAGATTTAATATAGTTAGCATTGATTTGTGAGGTACATTTTGAAGAACTATGAGGGAGAAGTGTTTTCATTTAGGATTGTGTGCTTTAACAGCTGAGATGATAGCCAATTAGTTCTGGAGCTTTAAGAACAGATTTGCATGTGAATTTTTAATTTCTAGAGTGTAAACATTTTTGCAATGACAAGATATCGAAGTTGTCTCATAATAGAGTAAGTCATATTTTGGGCTGTTGTGTGCCCTTTTCTTCATCACTCTTTAGGCTCGTTCTCTGTGCAGTTACTTATATACCTGACTTAACAACAGTATCAACGGTGGCATTTTAGTCTTATTTGCCCGTGCAAAAGTGGAAGTTTTCAATTTAAATACAGTTGCTTGACCGTTTACTTCCACTTCTTCCTTTCCCTTCTGAAGTTGGTTGGTGGTGCAATGGAAGAAGCTGGATCTCAGGAGATGGAAATGAATAACCAGGATCAGCTGGTGAACAGCAAGTGCAATGAATTGTCTGACCCAGCTGTGTTGCAGCATGCGCAGTCCAACTGTTATGGCCTGGAGAACACGGGCACATTGGAAGAAGCTGAGTATATCGCAAAGAGCAGAAAGCTCCTGGGGTCCACGTGCTGCTCTCAGGAGTCTCGTGAGGAGACTCCTGGGAGAGAAGAAGCCCGTACTGATCCACCTGATGGCCAACAAGATCCAGAGAGTGAAAAACACAAAGAGAAAACTTTGGGTATGTTCCTTTCGGCATTTTAATTTTTAAATGGCTTTCATATTTTTGTAAAATAGCTGTACGTTTGCTCTGTCTTTGTCTCAAGTCTACCCTGTAGCCAAAACTTGTCATCTTTAACAGGGTGTTCTGAGAAAATGTGCACTTCTACTTAGGAAAGGACAGTTCTTGATGCATATATAAGAATCCTTTAGCTCGTAACACTATTTTTACAGGAGTTTTGGTAATAAATGTAATAATAATGTGGTACTTACTAATCAGCTTTTTTAACTTTCCAGTTGTTGGATTAACTTTTAAATTTGGGATTGCGGTGTTCAATGCTACCAAAGCACTGCTGATACTTAAATTCCAAAGGCTTATTAAAAACACTTGTGTGAATATCCTTTATTAGCAAAACTTAACCTTTTGAATTTCACTCTTTCAGAAATTTATTTTTATCTGTGTTATTATAAACTATAAAACAAAAATATTTTTTTGTGGTTTTAAGATTAAAATAACTTTTGCTGTCCAAGTTGTGTAATGGCACATTGGCAAGACACATTTAGTCTTACTGTGATGACTTCCCATTTGTCATCCATTAGGATTATGCAGCTATCAAACCAGAGAACAACTTGACTCACACTAATTTCTCATGGTTCTGTATTTTTCTTCTATAAACAGGCTGCTTTTCTGGTATGTTTTTTTTCTCAATATGGTTGTCTTTCGTATAATTCATAGGAAAAGAAGTGCTATTATTAATGCAAGCCTTGAACACACTTTCTACTCCAGAGGAAAAGCTGGCAGCTTTGTGCAAGAAGTATGCTGATCTGGTAAGTAATTTGTAAAGATAGCAGAGTTATTCATGTGTTAATATTAACTGTGGAATGCAAGAACTTTCTAATACAGGACAGCTAATGATTTTGAATATTTCACAGTGTTGGTAGAAAAAATCCCCACAAACTCTGAGCCTTATTATGAGTATTGCTTCAGCCAAACTTGCATGTAGTCATTTCACTTCTACATGACTGCCTAAATCCAAAGAAAAAATAGGTTATGATAACTTTTTGATAACTTGGTGTTGAAGCATAACATTAGGATTAACAGAAAAGCTAAGAGTTTCTTTTGGGAGTAATTATTCTCTTAGTTTTTGTCTGTTGATAAAGCTTTTGTGCTAGCATTTTATAATTTATACCCTTTAGGATAAAGGGAAAGAACATACTGTGATACCAAGATTTGGAGAAAAAAAAGTTCAGTTGTACTTGCTTTACTCTTCAGTGATTTTTAGAAGTTGGAAAGATCTAGGTTTAATTTTGCTTTGTGCTTTCTCATCACACAAAGGAATGGATAGAAAAGAATACATTTCTTCAGGAAGAAACCAAAAAGGCAAAATGTTAGCAGTAATTGGTCATAAAGTGCATTCCCACTCCAAATAGGAGAAATGATAATTTATTCTCTAAATTGATCACAAAATCGAGGGGGGGTTAAGTCTCATAAGTTCACTTTTCAGAATGGGCCTGGAGACAAAAATGCTTGACTTGTTCATCTTGAGACAGGGACAGACAAGAATGGAAAGACTGGAAATACTATGTGTATATGTTTTCCCACCATATTTGTAGTTATAAAATGAAGGCAAAACTAAAGACATATCTGAATAGCTTGACAAAAGCATAAGATTTTCCTTCTGTAGATTTCAAGTGTATTATAAACGGAAACGTTTCTGAAAATGGTACAAAGGCTGCACAACATGGCATAACTCTTCTGAAATAAATTTATTCTTCCTTTGAGATTAATAATGTCTCCAAAGGTTTGAGGATGAGCTAGCAGGTAGTCTTTTTACTCACAGAGGCAATGCTAATTACTTAAGTATGGAGTTAGATTAGTTCTGTTTAGGAAATCCTGAGTTCCTCTTTGGAGGTCTGTTATGTTTTTGCTTTGTTTTCCTTACGCTCTCACATGCATGCTCTTGCTCACATAAGTGAATTTCCTTCAAAACCAGCAGTTTCTCAAAGAAGTTGCTTTCATTTAAATGAGAAACAATAATACTTCCATAGTGCAACTCGAGGGTGGGGAGCCCACCTAAAAATGAGCTTTGATATTGTGAGAGAAAAATGCAGTAAATTAGTTAGTTCTTATGAGCAATTGCTAGTGCATATGATTCCTTTTCTATTTGAGCAAACAGCTCCCATGTCAAATCACAGTGGTGGTGATGATGGCCTGCATGAGAAGCTAGGTTGGCATGAATTCCTCGCTTTTGCAGAAAGAAAAAAGTCTGCACCATCTTCACTTTGAGGTTTTTTTTGTTTTTGTTGAAGGAAACATCTCAAAACAATTAGGGAACAGCTAGACCAAATGAATTGTAATTTCATCGAAGAAGCTTGGCAATCAGGAGAGATGTGTTCACGTTAATGTTTTTTCCCCTCCCAGGAGAGGATCCATGGTCTATAGGTAGAGTAAGCATTCACAGTCCATAGATAGTCACCATCCCAGAAAACCAGTTGCTTTCCCCTGATGCTCAGAACTGCTGGGAAGTTGGGTGGGAGCTTGTTGGGGTGTAACAGTAGCTCTGTTTTAGCTGAATGAGTCTTAGAGGTACTCTGTTCCCCTTAGAAAGTTTAGGTTGGCTCTGGTTGTGTTCCTTTTAAGATGCATTCTTTTCTTCATGATAGTGGTGGTGAACCACTGGCATAGGTGTCAGCTTTAATGCCGGCAGAGGTTTGAACTGTTCATGACAGTGCACCTACAATGCTTTTTTTCTTTTTTTAAAGATTCATCATCTTTAAAGCTCACTGTCAGGTTTTTCAGTGGTGTCTCATGAAAAGGACTGTACAATAAAGGTAGGAATGCCTCTCTCCTGGCAAAAGATCTTCCACAATTTTTTTTTTCCTAATTTGGAATCTATCAGGAGATCAGTTTGTGATGCAGGAACGTTTGCATCCTTGGTGATATGTCTTACACTGGCGTACTTTAACAGGCCTGAAGTTGCATAGGTATGCAAACAGCACAGCCACTTGAAGTGTTGTTTTTTTTTCTGGCCACCCAAGAAAAGGGCTTTTTATGTTTGGATATCAAAATATCCCCTTAACATTCCTTTTCTCTAAACTAGATTAAATATACATTTAATTTACTGTTGTCATGGAGGTCCTTAACTTTATTTATTCTTTCTTCTGTGCTTCAGCATTATTTTGAGCTCTTTCAGAAAACCAGCATCATATTATTCTTCTGTCGTGGTGATGTTCCTTGTTGCCAGCTGCCTTTTCCTGTGGTGTCCCGAGGCTGAGGCACTATCTAATAAGGAGCAGTGTTACAGTTAACACTGATACCTTCTTTACAATAGAACAGACTCCAAATAATACGGTTTCTTGGGGAGCCCAAAAATCATGTATAATGGAACTTACTCTCAGCTAGGTATTAATGCAAGAAATGTCTAATCACTGGATATTTATAGAATAGATTTTGAAGTCAGCACTGTATACAAAGTTTAATGCTGTCATCTACCGTCTAAACAGCCTAAAGGAAATAAAACAAAAATTTTGCTTCAGATAGTTGAGACTATAGATCTCTTAAGTCATCAAAGTCTGGGCTGTGCAGCTTTAATAGTATTTGACTTGATTTGTCAGGGATGCTAGTTGTATCTGTTCCTTTCTGAAATACTGAGGCATTTTACAAACTTGTATGAATTACTGCTTCCTTTCGTAGGAGCTCCTGCTGACAAGAAAGAACTCTGTACACAGTTCTGGGTTTTTTTCTTTTTGATAGTAAAAACAAGACCTGTTAGATAAACAGCTGTGTGTATGTTACAGATAAAGAGTGGAAGAAGTTGTGACTTGTTGAAAACCCAGTTTCAGTTGGCTTTTAATTGTATCTGCTACATCGTTTTTTCTCAGGGCTAGTCCTACCCCTGTAGCTGAATGCAAGCTGATAGCCCATGGTCAACAGGTCCATGGTCCCTGTTCCTCAAAGGCAAATGCTTGTTAAGTTGGAATTTGTATATTTTTGTCTTCTGTCCTTATGCATTTAGAATTGTCTGTAGAATGGTGGGAGTTTCTCTTTAAGATCAACTTGGGGGTCTTAATGAAATTATTTGACTTCCTTACTTTCATCTAAAATGTTTAAAAGTTTGTTCGGTCTGCTCATCTAGATGCATAAAGATAGTTTGACCTATGTTTATTTAATAAATATACTCTCTAATATTAGTTGGAGGAGAGCCGGAATGTTCAAAAGCAGATGAAGATACTGCAGAAGAAGCAAGCACAAGTTGTGAAGGAGAAAGTCCACTTGCAGAGTGAGCATAGCAAGGCCATTTTGGCACGTAGCAAACTGGAATCTCTCTGTCGGGAGCTTCAGCGTCATAACAAGACTTTGAAGGTTAGTTTGTTTACATAAATTACAGTGGCAGTGGTGGTGAAAATCTTACTTACTGATTACTGCTTAAAATCAGGTCTGCTGCTTTTACATACTGCTTTGCACCGTTACCTGTACCTGTAGAAGATGAGTGGCACATGGCATAAGTGTACCTGATTTTAAGGTAAAGAATATGGGGGTGGTTCAACTCGCTAATTTTTTTCCCCCTCAAACTGGTTTGTATTACTTGCAGTATGTGATCTTGCCATATTTGTTTCTGGGAACAGTGCTGATGACCACTGGAAAAAATAGCACAAGTGAAATAACAGCAGCATGAAATGGCAGGGTATCAAAAAAGGCTTAATTCTGTCAGTGTAATGGATGGGAGTGAAAAGGAAGAGAGCCAAGAGATTCTTATCTGTGATCACTGTAGGAAAGTTCATTATAGTATCAGTGCTGGTTTTAACATCTGAGTAATTCTTACGCTTGCAAAGGTATTCATGTACCATCATACACTACCAACCTCTGAGTAATGTTAGTAGTGGTAAGGACAAGGTTCTCTAAAAGTTTTGGAATTTCTAGATTCTTCATTCCATGCACTTTGTATGGGTAGTCAGCAAAGCATATTATGATTGTGGTTTATATTAACTCTGGAACTTGAAACGGTACAGAAGTGAATTATTATGGTTGTTTCTGATGCAAAAATTCTAAAAAGGTGCATGATTTGGCTTGAACACGTTAATTTTCTCTCATAAAAGGAAGAAAACATGCAGCAAGCACGTGAAGAAGAAGAAAGACGGAAAGAAGCAACTGCACACTTCCAGATTACACTGAATGAAATTCAGGCTCAACTGGAACAGCATGATATACATAATGCCAAGCTCCGTCAGGAAAATATTGAACTGGGGGAAAAACTGAAGAAACTCATTGAGCAGTATGCATTGCGAGAAGAGGTGCTTACATTATGCTTCTAATGGGATTCTGTTAGTTCCTGGACTGTAAGGGTCAGATAATTATTTAAGGGGGAGGAAAAAACCCTAATACTTTATAGCCATCATGTGTGTATAGATATATTTTAAATTATTCTTTTTACTTCACTACTGTGAAAAATTAGGTAGCTGTTTGGCCCGCTATCTGCCTTTGCTGTCTGGTTTTGCATATCTAAATTCAAGATGCATCAAAAAAAAATCTTTCACAGTGAAAGCGGTCGAATAGAAATAAGTTGTCCAGAGATCGTGGAATCTGTGTCTTTAGAGGTATTCAGAACTCAACTGGGCAACGTGTGAGCAACCTGATCAGACTTTGAAGTTGACCTTGGTTTAAGTGGACTAAATGGCTTCTAAAGGTTATTTCCAACATAAATATGTATTAACATTTGAAGTTCTTGTAAATTATAATTTCACATTGTAATGGGAGGGGATATAAGAGCTATTCTTTATCTTATTTGTTTTGGTTATTAAGCTTGGGGGTTTTTGGGAAGCTCCATCGTGTATGTAGCTCTTCTTGTTGGCATAGAATCAAAGTAAGCTATCATGCTTTAAGAATATATTTGGACTGGTATCATGGACTGTATTGTAGGGCTGACTGAGCCAGCTTTAATTGGCACCAGCGTATGAACTAGCCAGTCTAAGCTACAGCAGTGGAAAACAGCCAATTCTCCTTCTCAAAGAGAGAACTAAGCTTCGAGGAGTTCTACAGCTACAATTAGTTTCCTAGTTCTTAGCTGGCATAGGAGGTTTGGAATATAATTTCTCAACTGGGTTTTTTTTTGTTGATGGTATTATGTGTGGGTTTTTTGGGGTTTTGTTTTGGTTTTTTTTTTTTCAATCTGGATGGGTTAAAAAACTCTCTGTAGACTAGTTCCCCACCTTTTGCGATCGTGGAATATTTGTATCTACCATGAGATAACTTGGGGAAGAGAAAAGGTAGGAAGGTGCCTTGTGCTACTTTACAGATGGAAGTAAGACTGCAGACTTCAACAATTTGTGGAATTTCATCAGCTAAATAAACTATTGCTGCTAACTTAGCTAATTTTGAGCTTTTTTTAATTATGAGGACTAGAGCTTTTAGAAGTAACAAAGTACAATAAGGATTAGAGGTAGATAGATGAACTTTAGAAGGAAGGATAGAGGTTACTTGGTTCAGGATTTTTGAAATGTCTAGTCACTTCACAGTGACTGACAGTATTGTACCAATTTAATAAAATATGCATATGGCTTCCATGAAAGACAAAAAAAGCGTAGTTATAATGTATGGAGATAAAGGGAGAAAAAAGGCATGTAAAACAGTCTTTTGCTGCTCTTTCTTTTGCGTGAAAATTTGAAACAATATGCATCTCCCCATACACGTATGCTTACCTTAATTGACCAGTGGACTGTTTGTATTTGACTAATATGATTTTCTTTCTTCCTTTAGCATATTGAGAAAGTGTTCAAACATAAAGAACTGCAGCAGCAACTTGTGGATGCCAAGCTTCAGCAAACTACCCAACTTATTAAAGAAGCAGAGGAGAAACATCAGCGAGAAAGGGAGTTTGTAAGTGAATTCTGTGTATGCTAAGAGAAATAACAAAACCCACCAAAGCAGACTTTTCACAATTTAAAGCAAATGCAGCAAATTGAGAGGACTATCTTATGAAAGTTAGGATAGATTTCAGCAGCGAGACTGAGATTTAAGTTTTGTGTATGTATGATGCCTACAATATTACTGTCCGTATTTACAGGCAAGTGGTGTTACTGTTTGGATTTTCTCAGCAAATGTGCTGGATATCATTTAGATTTTTCTTAGGCTGGGAAATGTCTTGAGCTGAAACACCAAAGGTACTTTCTCGCAGTCAAGAGTTGTAACTTCTGGTTTTATGCTATAAGAAATAACAAATGCAGAATAAAACATGCTTTTCTGAACGATCTGTCCCCAAAACTGTGCCTGATGTTTTCTTTGTATGTTGATAATCAGCAATTTACTTGCAGTCTTCCAAGAAGTTTGCTTCTAATTAAAAAAAAAAAAGATTTTTTTTTATGCTCCTTATGTATCTGTAATTTCTAGGCAAAAGCCTTGCTTTTCCTGTATAATCTTAAAATGATCATCCAGTGTTGGACTGTTCTGTATTTTTAAAACATAATTTTGGAATCATAAGCTGATGAAAATGTCTTCAAAGATGAACCTACAAGATGGTGTCAAGTTGAAGCAAAATTGGTTTGAACTGGCCTGTAAAGGCAGTATTAGTGACTGGAGAAATGGAGGTGGAAAATAAATTAGAGAGGTTACAGAACAGTTATAAATTACACAGTTTGTTAATGAACTACTCGTATAAATTTAGCAGTTCAGACTTGCTACAGAAATAGAAACACTGACTCATGCTACCAATTAGAAAAAGGTCTCAATAAAAATTTCTGCATGCCAGCACATGCTTTAAGTTGTATACATGAAAGTATAGGATAATAATAAAAAAGTCTATGTGAGAAAACATGGTTCAGTGGCCCTTAGATGGTGTTAACATTTGTTCATTTTTCATCGTAGATGAAGTTAAACACTTCTTAGGAGTACTTTCTTCATTATGTGGCTTTTTGTATTGTTTTTTTAGCTGCTAAAAGAAGCTACTGAGTCCAGACACAAATGTGAACAGATGAAGCAACAGGAAGCTCAGCTGAAGCAGCAGGTACCTCTTTTTTTAACACAGTGTTCTTCAATAATAGTTCTGAAAAGAAAATACCAAGAGATTTGTGATTGTAGTGAACACAGCGCAACATATGAAAAAACACATGTTATCATTCATCAGAGGCAATATACTATTTGTAAAAAATACTTGGTATTTTTTTAGTTAAGTCTTAAATTTAATTTTGAGTAGGTAACTCTTCAGTAGTGAAGTGTGAAGTATAAATTGTAAAGGCTTGACGTTTTATAGTTGCGGTTTAATGCATCTGGAGAGTAGTGTTACTGGAAGGTGCTAAACATTGAATTGCTGGAGGTTTTTTTAATCCTTTTAATAGTGTTAATGTTACAAAGACTAGAATATATGAAAGCTTAAGAATGTATGCATTGTGGTGGCTACTTTACCATTCTTTGGCTTCACTGAAACTGTTGTTCTCTCTTCTGAAGGTATTTTTATCTGTTTTTTATAGCTGTTGGGGACAAGAGAGGCCATTATGACTGTAAAGAGTTGGGTGGGGATTTCTACCCAGGCAGGTTTTAGAATTTGTTCCTTGCTGTTTCCATCTCATGCTGTTGTGTAGGTTTGGGAGCAAGCGACATCACGCTTATCCCTGTAGTTAACGCAGATTTAGTAACCCGAGTGTCTCTGTCTGCAAAAACCTGCTATCTTCAAATTGTTTTCTTGCTGTAAATGCTACAGCAAAGTCCTCTCTTGAGAGTGGAGAGATGGTCTCCAGCTTTTACGCTGTGTTCTGGATCACCTGCGGTCATCGACCACACGAGCTTGGTGCATAAGGCAGAGGGAAGTGGTAGGTTCAGCTGACATCCCAGCATCTGAGAAGCAGTGGCTGTTCCTTTTATTGTATACCTCTTATTGCTTCAGTTTTTTGAGGTTTTGTATTAAGTCTCCTTGCAAGCTCTATTTCATGCTCTTTTTTCATGCTTCTAGTACCTAATTCTTTTCAAGGCTTTCCAACAGTTAGATTTAAAGTGGATGTGTATGTGTGTAGTTAAATGTAATCATACGCACACATCTCCATTGGACTTGGATATTAATGAGTTCAAATTCTCCCAAATAGTTTTTTTGCCATGCTTAGTCTTTTATGATTTTTTCCAAGTTGGTCACCCTTTATTTAAAATCCCACTGCCTTTGTTATGCTTTTTAATAGCAACCATGTGTATAGTTTGTGGTTTCCTGGGGTCAACAGCTTTTTTTTGTAGAATAAGACAAGCTAGAAAGTTCAGTCACAATAATGGCAAAGAGTCGTGATGTACTGATGACAACCTAGGCTAATTCCTGTTATTGGATTTCCTCTACTATTAGAGCAAAATACAGTATTTCTGTGCTCTGAATTGTATTGTCCTGCAACCCTCAATGTCAGAATTGAGAAAACTGATTACTCTTCAGTTGGAGTAAGAAGTTACTAGTAAACGGTCATGTACTCTTAGAACATCAAATCACACACTGATAATATAAGCTGTTCTAATAAGAACCATAACCCAAATTTTTTTACGTTATATTAATTAACACATTTTGCAGTTCCTTCTTGATGATTGACCTTGTGGTGCCAGGCAAGAAAATTTTCTGTCATCAAACGTTAATGCTTGTTAAAATGTAATGCTTTTCACTATTAAATTAATTCCTTGTCAATATTCACTTCCATGACTTATGCTTACTGGGCAGATTTCGTAGGTTGTGAATGTGTATTTTGGTTTCTGGAATCAAGCATGATTGTTTTGTGCCAGCCTTGGCTGTTAGCTTTGGCTGGTTAAGGTGGAAATGTAAGTCTTTTTCTAAGTTTAATTTCATTAACCATGTGCTCAATTTCCTGTATATGTGTATGTCCACATATTTTTTGTAGTGGTGAAGCAAAAATGACATAGTGATGAGCTGTGACATTTTCCAACGTTTTATTAAACATAATATCTTTTTTAGTTCAGAATCTATTGCTGTTCTATAAACATAGAAGTCTCCTTTATATGTAATTTGAATAGCAAGTTTTCGGACAAGTTCTGCATGCCTCTCAAATGGAAATCTTAGGATAGTATAGAAAAAAAAGATAAAAAGAAGTTGCTCTTCTATTATTTTGAGTTGAATTTTGCCCTATACCTTAATATTTTTGTATTTGTATGCAGCTGTTCAGATTAATGTTGCTGCTTCTTTGCCAACAGCTTTCTCTTTACATGGATAAGTTTGAAGAGTTCCAGACCACCATGGCAAAAAGTAATGAACTCTTTACAACCTTCAGGCAAGAAATGGAGAAGGTACTTAAAGGATTACTTTGTTTCATAAAAAGTAATATAAAAATGCATGCTGTTAGTGGGATGCATTTTAGATTTTATAACAATGTTTGCATTCTGAAAATGTATGGAGTACTTTAACACTTAATTTGGATCATAAGATAGGGCATAAGAATTTGTCATATTATGGAAGACAAATGTAACTTTTTCTGGTTTTTGACATACTTGCATAATACCTAAATCCTAATTTCAGTGTTCTATTGAAGGCATACAATACTTCTTGGTGTTTTTGGCTGTGCTTATATTAAACTTTTCCTGGAGCTTTTTATTAGTCATACTTGAAGTTTGCTAGTCTGTTTCTTTTAAGAATCAATCTTGTTTTCTTTGCAGAATCTGTATTTGCAGGGTTGATTTTGTGCAGAAAGACTTTTCTGTAAAATAACTTGTTCAAACTAAACTTGGAAAGTAATACTAAGAAGTCGAATTACTCATGTAAACATACCTATGTTGCAACACAAGCCACAAAATGAAGTATTTTATCTTTTGTAGATGACAAAGAAGATCAAGAAACTGGAAAAGGAAACCATAGTGTGGCGTACCAAATGGGAAAACAACAACAAGGCTCTTCTGCAAATGGCTGAAGAGGTAATTAGCTTTCAAGCCACAGTATGGCTAAATCAGAGTCTGCGTCCTGGAGAACTTCATAAAGTTTTTCAGTTTTG